AGCAGGATACACTTCTTGTCTTTAATCTGCGTTTCTTCCACGGTTACGATCTGCTCCATCGTCAGCAGGTTTTGCTGCAAAGATAATTGAGTGATCACAAAGTGTTCAGATGGATTTCACCAACAAGACTTCTGGCTCTGGCTCACAGCTGCTGCAGAGATGTACACCTTATCCCTAAAGCACTAAAAAGCACTGGCACAGAGGATTTCAGGGTGTGTTAGGACAGTCACAGAGGAACTCATGATGAAGAAGAGTAATGGAGAATTTAGACTTATGTGTTAAATTTCTGCTGTAGCTACGCTGGTACTGCAAACCCCTCTGAAACCCTACTACACGTCGATGCATCACAGCCGCAGCTGGTGTGACTGCCCTGTTCTGTGCCATGGAGTAGGGCTGGGTATTGTCACGGATTTCTATAATCAATTCGATTCCGAAGGTCCTGATTCGATTCGATTCAATTCAATTTTGATTCACACAGTCAGATATATTATAATTCTGATCATTTATCAGTGATCAGTACATATCCATATTTTTATATCTATGCATAAAAACAAAGCTGACACTTGTGAGACTTCATCAGAGTGTAAGCATCACAGCAGATGTCTCTGTGCCAAACTAAATGAGGATAAAACGCACAATGGTAGACTGGTGCGTAATAAGTAAGTGAATAATGCAGAAATCTGAGATTTGAAATGTAAGTACACTTGGGGGGGCTGTGCAGGAAGTGTGATTTTATCATGGTGGAAACAAAGCGGCAAAAGTAAGAGGGAATTCATGACGATGTTTATCACATGTGAAGCATAGTTTGGATATATTTATATATTTATGTTTAAAAATCAATTCAGGATTTACTGAATCGATACTGCGTTATTCAAGCTAAAATGAATTTGAATTAGGGCTGCTCAATTAATCGAATTTTAATCACGATTACGATCTGGGCTTTCAACGATCATTAAAAATGACTGAGCCGATTATTAGCCCCTCCCTCGTGCTTTACTCTCGCGCTGCTCCGTGTGGCAAATCGAGTGCACCTCTCTGCATTTCCAACAAGTGTCACAACAATAAGAGGACCCGAGGGAAGCTCGGAAAGCTAAGCAGAAGTTATTTGGGGAGGAGAGTGACTGCCGTTAGTTGAAAAGAGAGGTAAAAAAAAACTTCAGTGGTGTGGAAACATTATGGGTTCTACTTGAGGTGGATCAAGTAGACACAGTGTGTAAACATTGCTACGGTGTCATAGCTGCGCCACAGAGCAACACTGCAAAGTTCACTAAACGTAGATGTTTACATTTTTCATTTATTTTTTTATATTGCAAACATTTGCACTGTTATCAGTATTTGCACACTATTTTATATTATTTTGTAAAGTCATTATTCAATACATTGTTATTGTTAACCCTTTAAATCCCTGTAGAACCGGAACAGCGTAAGCTAGCGCAACAATTTTTTTTGCATATGAAACCAGAGGAGTTGTACTTACATCTTATGCCATCAGCTTCCTTCCACATAAAGCTTTGCAAAAATTGCATAAAAAGCGCTTGCAGGAACAAAAACATAATATTCCAGAAACACGCTTTGCCAATCCGATCATTTTCATTTTCACGGAAAATGTAATTTTATTTATTTTTTTAACTTGTATGTAGGCCTTAAAAGCCTATACTGGTGTTTTTATAAGTCATGTTTGACTCTATACTTTTCTGAATAGTTTCTGGGATGCTTAGAACTCAAATTGCACTGCTGGAAATAGTCTATTTTGATGCACATGCTGTTTTCTTTGCAAATTTGCATCATAGGATTGTTTTTTGTTTTTCCTGCAGTATATAAAAATTGCTGTATCTCCAAAATAAAACTATGAAGACACTCAAAATAAATTTACTGTGGGAAACTATTTTTTGCAACTTTTTTGTATTTAAAGTTTTGAGGGATAAGCCTCTTAAATTTCCCCAAGTAGAAATATATGTGAAAAAAACAAAAATAATTTTCAATTTTTTTGTAGTTTATTGCACTTTTTTGTAATTAATGTAATTACTATGCATACATATTATTAAAATATGGGCTATAACAGTTGTATTGATGTATAGCAACTTGAAATGCTCCCAAAAATGGCACTACAGCATGTAAAAAAATAAATAAAATAAAAAAATAATATAAGCTCTGGCGGACTTGGTTCTATAGTAGGTCTTAAAGGGTTAAATAAATATCGTCAAATAATCGAGATCTCAATTTCAGTGAAAATAATCGTGATTATCATTTTTGCCATAATCGAGCAGCCCTAATTTGAATTGGAAATTTTTTTTTTCTAAATCCACACCTACCATCAAGTCCTCCTAAGCATTACGAACTACTTTCCCCCCCCCAATTTTTAAGTGAGGCAACGAACAACAGTCTCAATGCAAGGACTCACAAATGTCAGCAGATTCCTGGAGGGAGAACACTGCAACTACCAAAATGGGTGTGTTGGATAAACATGTTCGCCTCAAAAAAACCCTCAGCATAACAAATAGAGAGCATCCAGGAGGGGAAAAGTCCCAGGACCATATGTGTTTCTACCAGGTGGCTCTGTGTATAAAACACCGAGATATGACCACATGGTAATTAACATGTAAAACACACCAGTGTAAGCACAAATAGTGTGTGTGTGTGTGTGTGTGTGTTTTTTTGTTTGTTTGTTTATTTTAAAGTCTCTCAGATAGAGCCTAGCTGAGTTTTCCCTTTAGTTTTGATGAAAGTATAGTTCAGTGCACACATTACACTTACACACAAGTAAGCAGTGTACTTCATGGAAACACTAACACAATCAAGACCGTGCAAGTGCTCCTTCACTTGTGTTGTTAGGCTAATAGCTGCAGTCTGAGATGGTCTGAGGCCTGCAGTGAGCTTTGTTGTCAGACGGTGGCAGCGAGCTACTCTTGCTTGTGCTGTTGGTGGTCCGTCGGCCGCGGAGGAGAGCAAACATACAAAGAGCTGAAGTGAATTTGAGTGTTAAACACTGCAGCCACACTCTGTGCATTTAATGCTTTATTTTCTGATCTTTACGTTTTTTCAAATTTTCTTCTTATTCTCCTGTTCCCAGTGACCTCTCCTGTTGCTCCCTGCCCACTTGTAAACCAATCAACACCGAGCAGACATTTCCATAATCTGCTTCCAGTGACGTGCAGTCCAGACTGTGGAGAAATGCATGGGAGCAGGTTTGGGGTGGGTGGTCCACCTAGAATTGTGCACGTGATCGGACACGTTTGCAGTACCATAAAACCAGATCGACAAAGAGTAAAAACTGAAGTTGACTGACTACCAACTTTCAAGCAGGGAGGCAGACTACAACTCTAAACAGCAGGGGTGCTGAGGACACAGCAGGGACCTGAGCCTGGTGGTAACACTCACCCAGTCTCTCTGCTTTTTCAGAGGTTTTAGCCACCTCTCCTTCAGAATGGAATGAGCACAGACAGACAGACAGACAGACACTGACCAAATGATGAACAAGCCGAAAGCCCTCAGCCCATGATAGGCGGTCACATGACGTACAAACGTGCAGTGAATTTAAAGTGTATGCTGTGAGGCAGACTCACCCGAGTGTCGCCTTCTCCCCTCCACTCCACACGGTTGGGGAACAGATAGAAGTATCGGCGCTGCCACTGAGTGAGGAACGGGTTCCCGAGCTTCAGCATGTAGCCATGCATAATGCAGTCCTTCCCCAAGGCATAGTCTGCACAAAGGGACACACAGTCAGGAGGTGTACTGACAGGATATCTGTACTGGGCTGTGTGCGGATTTGTCCGTTATTATCATTACCCTCCTCGTGGCCCAGCTGCTTGTTCTTAGCCCTCTTGCGGGCCTCATTCTTATCGGTGTCCAAGTTGACAGCTTCGTAGACCGTCTCTGCCACCTCCTGCTGCCAGCGCTCTGAGATGACCAGAGGAAAGTTCTTGTAGAGCTCCTGGTCACTGTCCAGCAGCTAAGTCACACACGCAGGCACAAACACAGACAGAGTGCAGCATGTTTAGTTATACATATGCTTATACCAAGACGTAGAGCCTAAGTGACAAATTCCTACAGCGGCCTTGAGGTGCAAAACATCGAATCAAAAAAATATAAGTCTTCAGTTTTTGTTTGATGATGTTTGGAGCTGATGTTAAAATGTGCCTTTATGATTTCAGCCTTCTGTCAAGTTGAGTTGAAGGCATTCAATAGTAAAGTTGCCTTTATTTTTGGCCCTCTAGCAAGGTTGAGCCAGTCATCCATATGTAGCAATAATACACAATTCCTGTCTGCTCCTCTTAAAACTGCAGCTACAGTCCGTTCGTGATCAGAATCCTTTAATAATCCCTAAGGAAATTATGTGGTTACAGTTGCGCCAAGAGAATAGCAGTAACAGACTGAGCTAAATTAAATAATATAATATGTTGCAAAGTTTACAAAATATAAGAAATAGCTCTAATATAAGTACAAATGATGGCGCCTGGTTAAGTTTGCACAACAGCAGCAATACAAATGACGAGTTTTAGGCTTCTACTCATGTTTACATGAACTGCAGCCATCTTGGGCTGTGAGGTCAATTCTTCTCTGACTCTCCAAGTTGGAAATCTACTCCGGATTTCAGACTTTCCTCTTCGAATGGAAGAGCAGCACAGAAAGAGGAAATGACACTGACCTGTCACCAGAGACAGACCCGACCGTGTGAAACATCCACTCACAGGAAAAAACAATGAACCAAACACTGGCCCTAAATGCTGCTGCCTTTTCTGACATTGTGCTGTGTTTTACAGCACATGGTCACCGTAAGCTAAGCCCTATTCTGTCTCAGAGTATTGTGCTTTAAATCTTTCCTCCTGCTCTTAGGGAAATCTGAGGCCTAGCTTTCTGTCTGGGGACAAAATAAATAAATAAAAATCAGCTTTCCAAAATGCTCAAACAGTCCTTTAAATAGTCTAGTTCACTGTTCTTTGCAACAACATCTGGAAACATTACATCATCGATAGTAAAATATTCCACCTACTGCCACATGTCCAATGCCAAACAGGTGTCTTAAATCTGCTGGGATCTGACATTTTCTTCTTTGTTTTTTTACTAAAATGAAGTCTTTAGAAATGGATTTCTTACTTATCTACATTCTGCTGGCAGATCATTTGATACGCAGCCAATACTAAGCAGTCTAATATAAATGGCCTGCAATAAATCCTACCATGTCGGAGATCCTGGAGGCTTAAGTCTGTACAACTGTATTGTGTTACAGAATATCTCTAACCTATTTAAATCAATCATACTGCAGTAATCTATCTGCGCATACCAGGGTGGACTGGGGCTACACACCTTCCTTGGTGTGTTAATGCTCCAACCTTTACTATCCGGCAGTTGTTTTGAATATTAGTCTATTGTGGCTCCTAAGCTTTGGAATAATCTTCCTCTTCACATTAGGCAATCTACATCAGTGCTGGTTTTTAAATCCAGATTGAAAACGCATTTTTATTCACTGGCTTTTGACTCAGTGGTTGACTGACTTGTATTTACGTGTTTTCGCTATGTTTATTATTTTATCGTATTTATTATTCTTATGGTATCTATTGTGTTTCTATTGTTCAGCACTTTGGTCAGCCTTGTGTGTTTTTAAAGTGCTATATAAATAAACGATGATGATGATGATGATGATGATTAGTCCCCCGTTAAAGACCAGCTCCATCTGAGAAATGCAAACAAACGCTCCTGTGTTTCATTTCTGTGCGCTGGAGCAACAGAGAACAAATAAATGTTAACTGCAGCAACATTAATGTTAATGAAAGAGGAAACTGCTGCTGCAGAGCAACCAGGAGACTGGTGCTAATGTTATACAGCAGCTTTCTATGAACCCTTTCTACAAACTCACTTTCTCTATGTGCTTTCTTCCACCACAGTCTGAAATCATGGTTGAGAGATCACTGAACATCTTTTTCACCTTCCACTCCTGAAATACGGTGATGAATTATGGCTAGAAACGTGCTTTTGCACAACATGACATCACACTCTAAGTTGACACACACTCAACACAAAATATAATGACTTCGACATTTGTGGAAAAAAGTGATATTAATGTGCTTGTTAAGTAAGATTCCCCTTGACCTTTAACTCTGGCGCACAAAAATCTAATTAGTTCATGTCCAAGTTACCACCAGTCTATGCTTATTTAAGTATGCTTTAATAAGTATACTTAAATAAGCCTGCATAAGATGGAGTATTCTAAGCCTGCATGTTTAAAAACCTGCAGCTGCAAGCAGGCTGGCGTGTCTGACACAAATCAGGAAGCAGAGATGCCACTGAGCTGTATCAAGTGGCTAATTTATTTAAACCTCTCGGGCTGCAGCCCTGCTGTGAACATGCACTACAGCTCTTGGGAATTTCATTTCCTGGAAAAATATTTAGTAATTTTAGTAAGAAGTTTCATTCTGATCAGCTCTTCTTTGCCCTGGTGAACTTTCCACGTTACAGAAAAATACAGCTGCTGTCTGACTCTCTCTGCACCACACTTTGTATGACTAGAAACCAGCACATCACTGAACACAGCAGCCCACTGCACACATGGTGTCACATCTCTGGTAATCTAACATGAAGGGAATTGAAACATAAACATCATGGGACAAAGAACATCTAATGTCTGTGAGATTATGGTTAAAAGCCTACCTAGCTTAACAAATAAAGCCGTGTTTTCCACAGATTTATTACATGTCTGTGTGTTAAAGGAAGAACATGTGTGCGAAATTTATAAGGCACTCCTCTGCCAACATTTTAATAAACAAGTACATGTGACAAACAGCAGTCATTGTTTGGTTCTGCTGTTTGGGTGCACTGGCAGAACGTTTTCATTGCAGAACGAGGACTACTGTCACAAAATGTAATCTAACAAAGTAAAGCTGAAGCTGCTCTGAGTACAGGGTGTAACATGTAACGTGTGGATGGCTGGTAAACTGTGACTGCACTTTAAGAACAGCAGCAAGTTGATTATCCACTAATAACGCAATTACTGAAATGGGGAAAAAAACAAAATAAAAGCCAGTGGGTAGGACACAGTGAAGCTGTCTGATTTCTCAGACTTCTTATATGATTTAGTGCTCAGCTCAGATAAAATAATTATTGTGGGTGATTTTAACATTCATGTAGATGCTAAAAATGACAGCCTCAACATGGCATTTAATCTGTTATTAGACTCAATTGGCTTCTCTCAAAATGTAAGAGAACCCACCCACCACTTTAATCACTCTCTAGATCTTGTTTTAACATATGGCATAGAAACTGAACATTTAACAGTGTTTCCTGAAAACCCTCTCCCGTCTGATCATTTCCAAAAAACATTTAGACTTACAATAATCGATTACACAGCAGTGTGGAGTAGATTTCATCACAGTAAATGTCTTTCTGAAAATGCTGCACCTAAGTTTAAGAATATAATTCATGTGCTGTTATCATCTTCAATGCCCTGTACCAGCACAGAGCAGAGCAGCTATCTGAACGCTACTCCAACAGAGGTCGATTATCTTGTTAATAATTTTACCTCCTCACTATATGAGTGAGTATGGCTCTGGATACTGTAGCTCCTGTGAAAAATAGAGCCTCAAATCAGAAGTACTTGACTCCCTGGGATAACACTCAAACATTCACCCTAAAAGCAGATAACTCGTAAGCTGGAGAGGAAATGCCCTATCACAAATTTAGAAGATCATAATTTAACCTGGAAAAATAGTTTCCTGCTTTATAAGAAAGCCCTCCGCAAAGCCAGAACATACATCTTACTATTGCACAGTGAAGAAAATAAGAACAACCCCAGGTTTCTCTTCAGCACTGTAGCCGGGCTGGCAAAAAGTCAGAGCACTGTTGAGCCAACCATCCCTGTAACGTTAACTAGCTTCCCTCAGGCATTATCATCAGAAGGCATAGCATACATATTCACTGCTATGAAGATAACACCCAACTTTATCCATCCATTAAGAAAGATAACACACACCAATTAGTTAAACTGCAGAAATGTCTTAAAGACATAAAGACCTGGACGACCTCTAATTTTCTGCTTCTAAATTCAAATAAAACTGAGGTTATTGTACTCGGCCCTGAAAAGCTTAGAAATATGGTAGCTAACCAGATTCTTACTCTGATGGCTTACCTTGGCCTCCAGTAACACTGTGAGGAACCTTGGAGTCATTTTTGACCAGGATATGTCCTTCAGTGCACATATAAAGCAAATATATAGGACTGCTTTTCTTTCATTTGCGCAACATCTCTACAATTAGAAATATCCTGTCTCAGAGTGACGCTGAAAAACTAGTTCATGCATTTATTACTTCTAGGCTGGACGACTGTAACTCGTTATTATCAGGATGTCCTAAAAACTCCCTGAGAAGCACTTCACTCTCGCACTGCAGGCTTACTTGTGGTTCCTAGAGTATTTAAAAGTAGAATTGGAGGCAGACCCTTCAGTTTCCAGGTCCTTCTTCTATGGAACCAGCTTCCAGTTTCGATTTGGGAGACAGACACTATCTCTGCTTTTAGGATTAGGCATAAAAACCTCCCTTTGTTATGCTGCAATAAGTGTAGGCTGCTGGGGAATTCCCATGGTGCATTGAGTATTTCCTCTTCAGTCACCTTTCTCACTCACTCATGTGTTAATAGACCCCTCTGCATAGAATCATTACTTGTTATTAATCTCTGTCTTCCTTCTCTCTCCCCAACCGGTTGAGCAGATGGCCGCCCCTCCCTCAGCCTAGTTCTGCTGGAGATTTCTTCCTGTTAAAAGTTTTTCCTTCACACTGTTGCAAAAGTGCTTGTTCATAGGGAGTCATATAATTGTTGGGTTTTCTCTGTATGTATTATTGTAGGGTCTACCTTACAATATTAAACACCTTGAGGTGACTGTTGTTGTGGTTTGGAGCTATATAAATAAAACTAAATTGAATTAAAATAAACAGAGGAGATGGAAGTGTAAGATTGTTTTACCTTGATGCCCTTGGTGTCCTCTTCATCAAAAGATCCAATGTCAAAAGCATCTGCAGCATTCACCTCTCCCCTTGGAGGGATTAAAGGAGGAGAGTACTGGACAGAGGAAGAGGGGGAGAACAGACACATGGATTTCAGAAGATGAGGCAAAACGTGTAACAAGTGAGAGGACGATAAAAGCAAAACAGGAGTGTTAGCAAAGCAACAGTCCTGTAGTAGTTCTTCCCTCAAGGTAACCATAGCAACAGTAATTGGCATGGACTAATGTAGTCCAATTCAGAGTTAGTCAGTTAGTTAGCCTCCATTAGTTTACCTGATTGGAGGAAAACTCCAAGATTTTATGTGGCTTTCAGTTTGAATGATATATTAACCCTAAGTCAAAGGGTCACTAAGGCTAAGGTCACACTGCAGGTCTTAATGCTCAATTCTAATTTTTTGATCAAATCCATTTTTTTTTTTTGGTCTGGTTGTTCACACTGATTTGAAAGCCTACCCACTGAAGTTAGCACTGCCTGCTAACTGCTAACTCCTAAGTAAACATTGGCCCAGCAATGGATGCCATCAAGTCGTAGTTTTTTAGTGAACTGGATGGCAAAAGCAGAGCAACAATTAATGTGGCCAGTTATAGTATGTGAACTGTGGGCAAAAACAGATAAGTTTGTGGCCTTGGAGACAATATGAGTCGTCAACAGGTGAGGCGAGTAAAACCTGCTGTAAGGCTGTGAATGAAATAATTACTGTAGAGATGTGAGGCTGATAGACAGAAACAGACGTCACAGACTCATTACTATGGCAAGAATCAGCTAGACCAGGGGTGGGCAATCTCAGTCCACGAGGGCCGGTGTCCCTGCAGGTTTTAGATCTCACCTTGGGTCAACACACCTGAATCACATGATTAGTTCGTTACCAGGCCTCTGGAGAACTTCAGGACATGTTGAGGAGCTAATTTAGCCATTTAAATCAGTTGTGTTGGTTCGAGGACACATCTAAAACCTGCAGGGACACCGGCCCTCGTGGACTGAGATTGCCCACCCCCGAGCTAGACTCTTCTGCTGTTGAAGAACCTCACAAAACTCATTAATTTATCGCATGAATAGTTGTGCCTCATCTGATACTGAGTATCAGTATCAGACTTGTGGATATAATGTCATATTCAAAGTGGGCTCAACTTGTCAGTTTTTTTTTCTTTGCTAATCATGACAGCAACAATTATAAATGTACATAACCAGCAGCTACTGCAGCTTTTGTAAGCATAGCTCTGAAGACCTGCTGATGACCTCTCCTGCATTATAGCTATAATAGTATAGATCAGAGTTGGATACCTTGTGATCGCTGTCTGATCAAACACTGTACATTAATTAGCTTCATCATGGAAACCAGACTTATAAGCTTCCAGGCAAGAAATCCTGAGAGAACAAAGAATAAAGCAGATTCACAACAGAAGTGAACCTCACTTACCTTCTGGAGGTAAACTTGCTGCCAGTCAATGCCTTTGAAAAACTGATGCTCCTTCACCTCAGAGGCTCTGCGTGCACACACACACACACACACACACACGCACGCACACACACACAAAACGGTGTTATTTCTCATATCCACACTAGGTGGCACTGTTTGCCATAATACAGCCCTCTGACAAACGCACACAATTCTGCCATTTAACCCCAAGCAGACAAAGATCCATCCCTTGGCTTTAATTATAAGCTGATGCAAAATGACAGCAATGATCAAATTAGTTATGAACTCAGCTTCTATTAGTCCACTTCATGTCCACCACCATTTGTCTCCAGCGGACTGCAAACTACACCACCCAGTGTTATCAGGCTTAATGAGCACATTTAGCAAAATTTGTCTAACTGATGTATTCATCTGCATGCCTGTGTATGTAAACACTGATACATGACAGAGGTTAATGTGAAATTTAGCCTGTGTGTACTTGTGGGGACCAACAGTCACTTATGGGGACAAAGTGCCCATCCCCATGTGTCTGAAGGCCTTTTTGAGGCTCAAAATGTGGTTTTAGTTACAATTAGTTTATGGTTAGGTTTAGGCATTCATTTTTATTGGCTAGGGTAAGCGGCATTGTGTCAATTAGGCTACACTCACACTGCAGATCTTAATGCTCAATTCTGATTTTTTGATCAAATCCAATTTTTTTTGTCTGCTTGTTCACACTACAAATAAAATGTGACAGCAAACGCGCTCTAGTGTGAACCCTCAAAGCGGCTCGTATGTGCAAAAGAAGACGTCACACACTAAAACATCAGATATGTATCGGATTCAGTACCACATACAAAAGTGACCCAGGTCGGATTTGAAAATATCGGATTTGTCCTGTTCACACTGTCATACCATGATCGGATATGGGTCGCATAGGGTCAAAAAAGTTGGATTTGATGTGCTTTCGCCTGCAGTGTGAACGTACCCTTAGAGGTCCTCACTAAAATATGAAAATAAGTGTGTGCGGTGCGTGCATATCATACCCACGGCCCTGGCAGCCAAGCCTCTTGGATACATCTCTCTGCAGCAGCCCCTCCAGAAGATCTTTGAGCTCTGCAGTGAAAGAGTCTGGCAGCTCCACATTCTGCGGGTGAAACAGGGAGGAAGGAAAGAAGGAAGGGAGGAAGGAAGGGAAGAGGAGGGAATGAGAGTGAGATGTTTGAACTGAGTAGTGAACTTTGCAGTGAACACTTTGCTTAAAAATAAAATAACATCCAAACTCCTCTGATTACAGACAGGCTTAGATAGCAGATATAAAAGCAACAAACTCAGGGCCAGCACCTCTGCATCTATGGAGGACAGAGTACGTGTAGATAGAATGGTCAGAGTAATTGGTACAGCCAATACATATCAATAAGGCATTATGAAAAAAGTACAACTTACTGAAGCAGTACCTTTTCACCTCACTGATCTTACTGATGTAATATTTTTATGTCACGTTTGCACTGACTACATGTTCAGCTGATGACCTGATAAAGAGCTGAAAGAGTTCTTAAGGTTTCTTTGAAAAGTGTAAATAAAAATGGAATAAGCGTATATACCATTACAGCTGAGGCCACTAAAAACAAAAGTTAAACACCAGTCACCAAAGTAACGGCTGTTATGGTCCACCTTCACAAACTTTTCAACAACAACAACAACAAAAAAACAAAAAACAAAACAATCTAGGCAGTAGGAGTATACTCAGTAGTGACCCCCTGAGGCTGGGTCTGCTCCCAGAAACAAAGAAGCCTTTTTTTGTATGCAGGGCAAATGTGTTAACAACTAGATCAGCAATTATACAGCTGTGGTCAGAAGTTTGCATGTACTCATGATCACGACTCCATTCCCTCACATCTTTTAATACGTGCTGCTGATAATTCTGCAGTATCTTAACTACGTGTACATCTGCACTGGTTGTGTCAATTTGGTTAAACTATGGAATAATGGCTCTGTACTACCTTACAATTAAAATTATCACAAATGAACTTTCAGAACTTTAGGCAGTTACAGTTGTTAGAAGAGTTCAGTAAAACAAACTAATGAAATGATGTGAATACTAAAAGGCTTTTCCTACATTCACAATATTTGTAATAGCTGTATCAGTTGATGTTTAACACCAGACAAAGTTCAGCTTGAAATGAAACCTGCAGACGAGCTAGTGTCTTTTGCTCCAAGAATCTCTTCCAACTAGCTTTTGGGACTCTACACATGAAACGCGTCCCTGCAGGTTCTGTCCCCAAAAAGGTGAAAAAACAGAGCCGAGCAGCATCCAGAAAGTGTGGCATGCGGTTATACCTCACTTTTTCTCCCCACAGTATAGCACAGCCTTCCCTTAAAAGCCAACTCAAATTTGAAGTTTTATTTTTAACCACCCTTCATTTTCCTCTAAAAGTCTGGAAAGCTCAATGACTCAAGTGTCCTTCTTCTTCTTCTAGTCTCATCTGAAGGCAGAGTGTAATTCATACTCTCTTTTCTTTGCCCTTCACCGGACAGACAGGGTTGATAAGTGGGATAAGTCAACAGCCGTTTTAGCACCTGCCCATTTCTCTTCATACAGCCCCCTGCTACAACCCAAGTTAGCCTCCACCCTTTGATTTTTTTTGCTCAGTTGCTTCATGGAGGTGTTTCAAAGTTCAGACATGCCATCTACTGAGATCTGCTCCATTCATCTCTTCCTGTCTTGGCTGCTCAGCTCTCAGCCTTTTCACTGTGCTCTCCATCCTTCATGTTTATGTAATGAAACCATTCATCACGTTTAATAAACACTGGGGCATATAAAGCAGTATTTTTAGTCTGTTCATGGATGAATCGCAATCCTCCTCCTCTCCCAGCCCCTTTCTGAAACACAGATACACACCCAGACAAGGATTAAGAGGATAAAACCAGATTAAGTGGCTGGATTAAAATCCTAATCTGGATTTATTATGATATGAAAGATCATACTTTCACTGTTTAGCAGGCATGCTCAGTGTATGTGAGGGATGGAGCACCGTCACAATTCAACTGTTTCATGTCCTGACAAAACACACAAACAGAGCCAGATCTCTGGCTCCACTCCCCTGTGATGGACAGCTGCTGCAGATGGCAGGCAGAGAGATGAGCGTCAGGCTGTGGTGAACATTCACATTGTGCTTTGTCATGATGAACCTGCCTGCACTCTAACATGATATGTCGCCTTTGCACGAGTCTGGTGTGGATGTGAGAAGGGTAAAGCAGACATGTCGTGGGTGGGCTCAGCAGACACCATCCATCCCACACGCTCAGCATCAAATTCCTCAGACAGACACTCAGAGTAGACTCCAGTCCTTCTAAGCTACTTTGTGTAATAATAGTTAATTGTGCAATGTTGCCTCATCAACCCCATCTAGCAAACCTTATAGATGCTTGGTGCAGTTACCCAGTGCAGAGTTGAACTTTCATCACCAGGGGGCAGTGTATTAACAGTGGGTGTGTCATTCTGTTTCTGGATGTGTGCTTTTTGTTCTCCTCAAAGGCTTTGTTAAGGAGAGTTTCATAGACCCACAATGCAAACGTAGTATTACACTTAAATCCATCCCAGCCCTACTTCAACTCCGTTATCTCTTCAATACAACACATCAACACTGCTTCACTGAGTGAATGGGTTAAATGCAGAGAGGAATTTCCCCACGGGGATCAATAAAGTATACATTATTATTATTATTAAAATTTTGGCCAAAATGGTGTATGGTGTATGGTGCCAAAGTACCTGGTACCGAGTACTTTTTCAGTACCCGCTCGGCCTAGGTTCCAACAGAGCAACTACTTCATGAAAATCAAAACTGCCGATTTTGAAACCTGGCAACGAGGGAAACGGCCGCACACAAACCAATACAGCGGTCCATGAGTCTGACACAAAGCAACAGACTTAGCAGCAGGTACACCACTGACTCGACATCCTCCATTGTCGTTGTGTTTGTGTCGCATACACCGACCCCAGGTACATTATGTGGTACTCAAAACAACCAAAACTGAGTCAATTAGGTTCTAATTAAAAAGAGTTACATTTTCATTTAGTCACACAGTGGAATGATTTTGTTTTAGAGGGACTTGATCTGTGTACAAGTTTGAACCCACAGCAAACAATGATCAAGCTAATGGCTACTTTCGCTCATCCAGCTGTGTTCCTGTAAACAGTGAGCTATTTTACAAGCTTTGCTCCCAGTGGAAGAGTGACAGTGGATACTGCTCCCATTTCTATCTGCACACCTACAAAAAAGCAAGGTCAACAGGCAAAGACACTAAAAGCTGATCCCAAAACTTACATACAACCCTGTCAAAGATGTGCAGGAAAGACTAGCAACAGATTCTGCTCAGGCTGTTTTTTCACAGTACAGTACGTATATATGTGTATATATGTGTATCTATCTATCTAGATAGATATCTATCTATCTATCTATCTATATATATATATACACATACACATATATACACATATATACACATATATACACATATATACACATATATGCCAAACAGGCCAAACCTAGGTGCTTAGGGTAAAGCAAAGAGACACACACACACACACAATCCCCTGTGTGTGCTTTGACATGTGTTTACACACAGACACCCATGCATCTTCTCTCATGTAGTGTGGATGTATCTTACCATGGTGAGCGTCATGCGGTCGATCTCATGTTTGTCTTTGGTCTTGTGCTGTCTGAAGGGACTGTGCCTAAAACAGAAGAGACAGAGAGCGAGATGGTGACACTGTCGATGACTAGGAACAGCAGAAGTGGAGATGGATGGAGTGAGAAAAGAGGTGTTTGGAAGCAAGAACAAAAAACTCCCTCAGGTAAATTACACAGACGCTGCCAACACACCTGCAGCTTCAAATGCTGACTTGGTAGATGTTAATGAGTGTTTGTGCAGCTGGTGTGGAAAGAACACTGAAGAAAGTAGGAGTTTTTTAATGCTTTAACAGCCGGGCGTCCTACACCATCTATCCAACTGGCACTATCAGACTGAATTAAGATTCATGACGAACCATATTTTAGTTTAAGCATTCTAATATGGCACAGGTTAGTGCATACTGCAAAAATAGTATCCATCCTTTCACACAGTTCACGAGTCAAAGGACTGGATTAAAAGGTTAGGAACACATTAGCTTCAATTAGAACAGAGGCAGTGACTAAAAAAAATAAATAAATAAATTGTCACTTATATTGACTTGGGGGGTGCAGGCAGGGCACCGGATCTGGAGAGAACTTTATTTAGATTGCTTTCTTCTGGCTAATGTTAGCTTCTCTGCTAGCTTCAATGCTTATCTCTACTAGCAGCAACTAGCTGACTTGACACAGTATAAGTTCTTTAACCCTTTTGGCTGGTAAGCTGGCTTGCTCGCTGCTAAAGTTATGAAACAAGTGCAGCAGTAAGTAAGCTACAGCTAGCAGCCTAAGCAGAGAAGCCCAGACCTCCCTCTCCCTGGCCACCTCATCCAGACTTTCTGGAGGACACTAAGACGTTCCCAGGCTGGTCGAGAGATATAATCGCTCCAGCGTGTCCTGGGTCTCTTCCTGGTGAGACATGCCCGAAACTCCATGTCCAAGAGGCATCCTAGTCAGATGCCCAAACCACCTCAACTTATGCAGACCAAGCTCCAGCAGTGGTTGTATAAGGATTGAATGGCCTGTACCAATAGGCCAGACACTCCATGCTCTTGAAGCACCTGGTTTATAGTTTACGGTTGTCGATGACAACCATAAACCAAGATTTTAAAATTCGATCAGCACATCTGGCCTATCAGTCAGTACGTAGATTTGGCGTAACGCCGTCGCAACAACCAATCACAGTCAACATGTTCCCCACTCCCTCAAAAAAAGGTAGTGGTGCGTTGGTGAAAGAAAAAAAAATAATTCTCAGAAGCCAGGATGTCCGGATGAGTAAAGCCAAGAACGAAAATGTATCAGCTGCTCAGAAAGAGATAACACTAGAGAGGTAACACATCATCAACAGTGTGGAACAAATACAAAAATATGCAAAAGAACGTCTATTAAGCCTGAAGCCAGTCTTCTTAGCCAAAACCCTGTAGTGTGTCAAATTAAATATGGGCATGGAACAGGATGAAAATTATTATTTCAGAGACTGTTCACTAATTGATGGAGTGATATTTTTTGGGGGGGGTATATATATCTATGTATATCTATCCATATGCCTATATCTAGATATTTGTATAGACATGTCTAGACAGACAGACAGGTAGAGATATAGACACATATATATGTATATATACTCACTTTTGTTGCAAGCGGTTTAGGCAATAATGGCTGTGTATTGAGTTACTTAGAGGGGGCAGCAAGCTGTACACTGACTTCTTTACATTGTATCAAAGTGTCATATCTTCGATGTTGTCCCATGAAAAGATAACAAAATATTTACAAAATTTTGAGGGGTGTACTCACTTGTGTGAGACAGTGTATATGTGTGTGTAAAAAGAAGAAAACAACGATACTGACCACATCTTGCTTTAAGTGTTTTCCCAAAAAAAAAAAAAGAAAAAGAAATCTCATCCAGCTCTGAGAATTTGGACTCTAGTGTTGAAAGACGCAGACAACCTTTGACCAAAGGCCTGCACACTCTTCCTCTTTAAAGTGTTCAAACACATGGATCTGAACATCAATGGATTCACGTCACACTTGCTCTTCTCTTTTGCTCACTCAGGATAAGCAAACCCGCCCAACACCCCCCCCACACACACACACACACACACACACACACACACACACACGCACACACACACACAGCTGCTTTTACCGGATTTCTGACCTACTGTACCCAGACCTCTGGCATTTACACACTCCAGATCAAACAAACACACACACACACAGGCTTGCACACAAACAAGATCAAACACACACCAAATAGAAAGCAGGCTGGTGAGAGATGCCGAGAAAGGCGAGCGAGCAGATTCGAAGAGTTTACTGAGAGTGGCAGAGCAGGCTGAAAGCTGACAGGAAGTCAGGACAGTGCAGCAAGGGGGATAGATGAGCTGAGAGGAACAAGTAAAGCCTGAGTGGTTACCCTCGGAGGAGTTTGAAGAGCATGCAGCCTAAGGAGAACCAGTCGGCACTGCTGTCGTATGCCGTCCCCTTCTGAAGAACCTCTGGAGCCATGTAGCCATGAGTGCCACTGCAACAAGCACAGCACACGTCAAAACAATGAATGCAGGAAATTGGTATTTCTCTCAATAATTATTATAAAGATGTTCAGGACAGTCAGCCCTTCTGGGCTTATTCTTTTTATTCTATTTTTTTAATCTAGTTATGAAGTACCAATTCATTACACCTCTTTGCAGAAATTCATTTTACTGAAACTGAACCCAATGTAGGCCCTTGTGTTTAGCTTTCATCGTTTGCAGGAGAGTAGAGCTATAAACATCAGCATAAATGGAGCATCAATCATGTAAAATAACAATGAACAGAGCCCAAGATAACATGTCTGAAAATATTCAAATGAATCCAAGAAAGAATATTCGCCAACAATGAACAAGTAGACAGTTAAAAATATTAGTGATAATAACTGTAATGAAAAGATGCTGAATGTCTGCTGCGAGCTCACTGAGCTCCACATTATGATCCATGCAGGGCGAAGCAATTCATTGACATATTAGGGATCAATCACTCAAGCTTTGCTGCCAGTCTCCATCTCAACTGAGGAGCACGCTGCCAGTGCTGCACAGCTACTTAAAATGTCAACGTGTGATGGACAGCAGTCCACCGCTATGTTTGTGGACCTGACACACAAAGCTTTAAAGGCACCACAATCATGAGCAGAAAACTGATCTTTGAATTGCAACTGATTAGTTAGCGCTGATTTACTGAAGAACACTTCATGTAATAGTGGTGTATCATATATCACCACTCACCCAACCAATATGAAGACATCATTTCAACCCACATCGCTGACTGGATGGACAAGAAGTTGCAGTGGGATGTTTGTCCTCCTCAGCGTCTCTTTCTGACAACTCGTTGCCCGAGACATTACAGTGCTGTCTTTTTGCTCACTAACAATCTCCGAGGAGCACATTAATCAGCAGAGTACGCAGCAACACAATGCATTTCCTGTGGTTACTTCATATTCAATTAAAATGTGTTTCACCACTTAAAAAGCTTTTAATGTGAAGCTGCAGCAGCAGGAAATGTTTGACTTGCATTAACAGTAACTTAATACAGCTCCGTTCTTGGGAACTTCACCACAGACTCTTTTTATTTGCCCTTTAATGCATGATCCATCAGGTCGGCACAATCCTCTCCACTTGTCAAAGTGCAGCGAGCTGAGATAGTCCAACCCATTTAAAATGTAATCACTGCGAGAGATGTTCAAAGAGAACCCCGAGCAGCGCCAGCTGTATTTCATATTAATATAGATTTATATACATTTATGAGCCAGCCCACCCACCTACCCCAAGACACGTAAATGCTGTGCAGAGTTAAACTCAGATGAACTTACACGCTGGCGTGGGGCTTCTTCTTGGAAAAGTCGCAGGCCAAGCCGAGGTCAGAGATACGAACATGACCGTGTTCATCCAACAGGATATTAGCTGGCTGAGGGAGGACATACACATAGGCAGAGTGATGGACAGGGTGATGGAGAATGTGAGAGATAACACGATAAAGCATAGGATACAATGTTGGAGAGCTAACTAATTCAAGACTTAAGTTACAATTTCCGTTCCCTAGCAGAGATTCTGTGTGAATACAGACAGTAAGAGCGCCTCCTGTCCTGGTTATCCTCTGCCGTTTGGCACATCTGGAGCTCACTCTCTTTCTTTCTGTCCAACGCTGCCTTAGTATTATTTGCATTGAACTGCACTGTTTACTGAAGCACTAAAACTGCTCCCTGACTTCCAGCAAAATATATCCATTATGATGGCAGCCAGTCCAAACAGGGGAATCGGAGAAAAAACAGAGGACAGCTGACAAATTGGTTGATATGAAGCTATGAAACGTGAAGCTGTGGAGGTGCAGCGGTGGGTGAGTGGACTAAGGGATGCTTATCTAAAAAGTTAGAATCCCCCTTTTACAGCCTGAATAGCAAACTGTTATCTAAAGGGAACATGGCACAGGTTCTGATGTGCAGTTAATGATAATCATTGCAGTTTTGGTTGTTTTGATTTTTTAAAACAAAGGATTAAAACTCTGGTGATATTAAAAAATTTTCTGATTGTAAATAAATCCTATTAAGTACAAAATTGTGTTTTCTTGCTTTGTGCGACTCCCGGGAAGTAGAAAAACGCTCAGATGCTGTATGTGGTCATTACCTTTTTAAACCACTCAGCGATTTCCTGAAACAGCTGGTCGCTTCAGTTTTAGCTAAGCCGGACAAATATGTTGAGGGACTATTTTCAGAGGCGGATTTATACGACTGCATGGAATATGAAAGGTGCTGCTTTTACAGATGAAGATACAAAAGACACACATACAAAAAAAAGGATCTGTAAGTTGAAAGTTGAACGTGGAGAGCATGTGTCCAGTGCCCCGCAGTAATAAGCCACAGACACAGATTCTGGTGAGGTGAATTGCTGGACTGATTTAATTCAAGTCCTATATTGGATGATGATATTATATTTATCATTTATTGTCAATTATATTATTATACTCCCGTCCTTTATTTAGTGCTGTGCAAAACACGCTGTTTACTACAATATGTATTCCATTGCTTTAGATGACTGTTTGCCAGTTTAGCTCATAGCCGACGCAATGGAAACATGGCCTCTTGACCTGTCTCTCTTGCACTTTCCTGCTCTGTGTGTCAGATGTTTAGTTACTCATCGGCCTCCTTTAGAAATAGCAATACTTGGAATGGAATTAACCTGTTTGCAGCTCTGGAGGCTAAGGTCCCTGAACTGGAGACGCAGCTTGCATCGTTGAAAAACCTGCAGCTAGCCAGGCCCCTGTAGCTGGTGCAGCTGAAGGTAGCGTAGCCCCGTTAGCTCTGCCCCAACAGACTGTCGTGAGCAGCCGGGAAAACAGGATGACTGGGTGACGGTGAGGAGGAAGCACAGAAGAAGCCCCTGGTATGCCATCAACCCCATTCATGTGTGTGGACCAAACTCTGCAAATTGGCGATTCTGTTCTAAGACATGATGTGAAGCTAGAGACACCAGCAACCATAGTCAATTGTCTTCCAGGGGCCAGAGCAGGTGACATTGAAGGAAATTTAAAACTGCTGGGCAAGGGCAAATGTAAATTCCGTAGACTTACGATTGACGTCGGCAGTAACACCCGGTTAAGTCAATCAGAGGTAGTAGCTAGTAATCCCCTATACCACAGCTAGCTTCTAAGTTTGTTTGTTTTTTTTCCTGCTACAGATCAGTATACATTAACAGGGCAAAATATTAGGGAAACCTATATGTAATGCAGCTCAGTAATGCACCAGCTGGTAGGACCTGAGTTATTTAGATGGAGGCTGTCCTGAGGGTTTCTTGGATGTTGGGTATAAAGTTCACCTCAGTCCACTGTAAATAGATTCCAGGTTATGCATAAAATGAGTCCTCAGAATTTATTGTATGAAAAGCTGCTTTTAAGTTTCTTTTGACAGGAAAAACTCATTGTTGGCCACGTCATGGAATATGCTGATTATAGGAATGATTGTGTTCAGGATGATTTCCGTCTGGAATCAGGGGGAGTCTACCTTGAGGTCTCTGTAGACGACAAAGCGGTTGTGCATGTGCTCCAGACCCAGGATGATTTCAGCTGCATAAAAACGCATCTCTTTCTCACTGAACACGCCGTGCTGAGACAGGTGGTAGTGCAGATCACCCCCTGAACACACAGAGAGAGAGAGAGAGAGAGAGACACACACACACACAAACATACACAGTAAGTGCATGACATCAAAACACCTCAGTTTAAATCAATATCTGTCCATAAGTTGTGGTAACGTTCTCGTGGGGGAGAAAATGAAAATCGATGGCAGGCTCTCTATGACACTCTTCTCTTTTCCAGCTGTCTCACTGAGCTAATGATTATCTGTATTCATTAGCATAACTGAAGCTCAAATAGCGAGCAGTGGACACTGTTTGGTGGTGACTGTTGACTTTGAAAGTTGGCCAGTCCTGATCAGGATATACTTAACATTGAGGTGTGACTTAAAAAGGAGGCTGATCTTAGATGCAAAAGAATCTAACACAGGCAGGTGGTGTGAGGCGTCATCAATGAGATCAAAATCCTATCAACTCCCTGAGGGAGGAATGGCCTGAGTGGCGACTGGCAGTCCGAGTAATCCCATCTTTGTGTCTCAGGACAGATTGGACTCGGCAGGAGTTTAATCTAAGGCAGGAAGGAAGGTGTGGGACATCCTACCGTTCATGAGGTCCAGGATAAAGCACAGCTTGTCAGGCGTGTGGAAGGCATACGTCATACACACAATGAACGGGCAGTCCTGAAGGAAGATGCAGAGAGAACGAGTTTAAAGTCTACAAGTGAACTCCTCCCAGCTAACCTTACTCTTGTGGTTTTCCTAAAATGGGTTATACAGCTAGTAGTGGAAAAAGAACTGAGGACCTTTAGTAAAACACACCCATGCAGCACAAAAAACCGATTTTTAAATCAGAAAGATGGATTTCACTCAGGACCACTGTAGTCTCAGGGACACTGACATTAGGCATCAGGGCTATAAATTGAGGTATCCCCTGAATGACCCAGCAGGAACAGCACAGGCATCGATGATATAATATCATCGATATGACAACAGTTAAAGCAGATTCAGCATGAAGGAAGCAACTTCAGTGGGCATGGGGTGCAAAACGGCTTGCAGGTGTGCAGCAACTGTGGGTAAGCAAAGGGTTAGGGGGTAGGCTAAACAGAGCGTCCAATGAGAGACTTCCTAACTGGATTTGAAGAAAGATGTCAGCTGAGCTTTGCCCGGTGGCCTGTCTGAACTGACACCGCTCTGCAGCTACAGCAGAGATTCTCAGTCTCTCAGGGGGCCTTGTTGATGGAGCACAGAGTTACTGCAGGATGGGTGTGGACAATCAAGGGAATTTGAATGAATAGAATTTCTGTAGAGAAAATAAACAGATGATGCTATTGTGCTTTATTTTCCCCCAAAATCAAATTGATCAGTTTTCTTCTTTGATAAATGTTTTTCCTTCTGATGTGGAAATCAAAGTCAAAGTGAGAATGTGGTGGGCAATATTTTACTGCTTAAGGTGGAGTCTGTTTAACAGTATGTCATACACATATATTTAACTTGCCCACTCAAGAAGACATGGGCTAAGTGTTAGGGGAGGTGAGCTGAAGAATGGACAGAAAACAAAGTTCTGTTTGTAGTTTCTGGAAGTAGTGTCTTTTTAGAGGAAAATATCTCAGGCTGTTTTTAACCTGTGTGCTCAAACCAAAGCAGTCTGTTCCATACAGGAAGTCTGTGCAGCACTGAGACATATTATATATTAAACACTGCCAATCACTCCTAAGTATAAAACAATGTTGGTGGCTTTTAGAGTTTAGAATAAGTGGGATCTGTATGAGTAACTATGTTTTACTGGTATACCATATTGCAATGTACTGAATTGCATTTTTAAAAACATGCCGAGTATTTAAGAAAAAATAAAACCTTTGTTGGTGCAAACATGGTGTGTAACTCACCCCTGTGCTCACTAATGACAGCATGATTCTCTCGTTGAGTGCGAGAGTCTCCCCCTGCTTCATTTTGATCCTTTTCTTGTCCAAACACTTCATGGCATACCTGACAATCAGAGCGACAGACACAGGTTACACATGCAGAGGTAACTGCACCGAGCGGTGTGCCTTTCAATACATTTACGGAGCTCACATTTTTCCCGTGTCTGCCTTCCTGCAGCCGTACACCTCTCCAAAGCCGCCCCTGCCGATGATCCGATGCACGCTGAAGTCATTCATGGTCAGCTGAAGGAGGAGAGAGGAGCACAGAGACTTTAACTCAAGCTGAAGAAAAACATGGCCTTCCTCTCAGAGACAGAAAACTCTGGGTGGATGTGCCCGTTTGGTTCAGGTTGCTGTTGCGTCCCACCATCTGAAAAAGCGGATGTCTATTTCCAGACATCTCAGGATTCGGCAGCTCTGCTGGTGTGTTTCATTGGATGGAGGGAAATTGCTAAAGAACCACACGGTTCTTTATAAACCCATTAAGTCGATAAGATAAAACAGACATAGTCAACTTTTGGGAGAATCCCCCTGTCCCCCATACTCACATGGATGTTGAGCTCCACATTCTTCCACTGGCAAAAACGAGTGAATTTATCACTGGAGGAAAAAAAGCAAAATGTCAACATGTGATGTCAGCTACCACCCCCCGCTGAAAAAAATAAGAGGAAGAGAAACAAAAATAAAACGCATCTATGATTACCTCTCAATGAACTTCTGGAAGATGTTTCCTCTCAAGCTGTCACAGATCTCCACGATGTATGGCTAAAGACACACACACACACACACACACACACACACACAGACACGCACACACACTTCAGCAAATGTGTGGACAAAAATGCTTTGCAGGTGTATGTGAATTATTTTCCTGAGTGGGCAGGACTGCATGTTCACTTACTGTTTCTGAGCCTCAGCCTTGTTTACCTGGTTTGTATTTGTGAGCTAACTTGTTTCACAGAAATGCCCACTGAACATTTACATCTTGTTTGTGACTCAAAGAGTCTTTGAGTTGTTTGTGCAGTTGTAACACAGAGGCACTGTATTACTGCTGCACATACAACCCAAGGACTGAGAAAATATAGAGGAAATACTAACAAGTTGATGTAACATCTTAGAGTCACTGGGTATAATTTTATATCCACAAAATAAGCCATGTTGTAGTCTAAAAGAGGAAGTTGCTGATTAGATTTTCTGAGCTCAAACACAGCTCCTGTCTGTGTTGCTCTGCATGTAATTTTCCTGGGTGGCATTTTAGCAAGCGATGCCATGGTAAAAGTTTAATTACCAACAGCATGAACAAAAACAATAAAGTTCAAATATTGAGCACAGAAGGGAATCTGGTACAACTCAGGTGCTATAGATACTCTTTGACATGGACATGACATGTCAATCACACACGCATACCACACCAGTCAATTAAGAATGGAGAAAAAAAAATAAACCCCAAAATAGGTGGTGTTTTTGTGGGGGGATTTTTTTATTTTGGTACATTGGACTGAAAGGTGGAGATGAGTGCTCCTCTAGAAACCTCCACGGGGTTTTCAGAACCTAAGTAAAGCCACCAAAGTGATTTATGATCCTAAAATGTTCCTTCAATACACACACAGTTTTACAGGTATTTTCTTTCTAAGGAGCATGTGCAGTGTTGCATGCTGGTGTTCTGATATTTTGTTTTGGCCCCGTTCATGTCATCAAGCGGCACTTGCCTTTTATAAAAGTCAGTGTAGACCTACAAACTTGTCTGTTAATGAAATGTTACATTTCATTGTGATGCAGAGTGGCATCATTAAAAAAACAACAACTACAAAACAAAACCACAAATATGCTAACACATGCATGACTCCTGCCCTGCTCAGTCCAGTCATTCTTACTGCCACCTATTCTAAATGCATGTATCAACGCAGCACTAACAAGTTTTGGAAGTTTCATGTTTGTTCTGTTTGACCGTTGAGGTTTTCGAAACCCGACTGAGGAGTTTTTGTCCCAGTTTTATTCTGTCAAGAGCAGCAGGATATCACTGTGTGTCTCTCATCAAACAACTTGCACAATAATAATGGAAGCACCATTTCTTCAGTCACATTTTGGGGTCAGGGCTCCACCAACAGGGTACTAATGGAGTATGTGGGATCAAACACAACAAGTGACCGTTTCCTTTGCAATATATGGGGCAATGAGCTGAGCTGATATAAAAACAAGTAAAAGGTCTACAATCATCAAATCAAACTATTTCCATCCTTCACTTTCTTTTTTCCTACATGTTTAAAAGAGCACAGTCAGACAAGTGCAGCTTCAGAGATCAAATAGTATTTACCTGAAAAAGGTTTGGGGGGACCTGTTTCTTCGCCAAGTGACTCTGCACATGGTCCACTGCTTTCTTAGAGAATGGCTAAGACAAAGAGAGGAAATAAAACCAAAGGCCATTAAAAATGCAGCATAAACATTTATTTCACTTCTGTTTTTTCTGTTGTGAGCATGTGCGACCCCTACTGTAACGCTGCTGCAGAGAGCAACACCAATATCTGGGTTTGCGTGGGTGGTGGGTGTTTAATAACTTCCTCCATTTAGACAGCCCCAGCATGCACCGTGCTTGCTTTACATCCGAAATTGTTGCCTTGCATGAGGACAAAAGCAGTAGTGTGTGTGTGTGTGTGTGTGTGTGTGTGTTTAGACTTGCTCCAGAAGCCGGGTGAAGAGGAAGAAGCAGGGTGAAGACTGGAGTATACTGTGCTTTACAGGGATCGGGATTGGTCCAACAACAGTATAGTATAGATTTACATCACTAGTAAATTATTAATTGTAGATTAAATTATTAATATCGAGGATATGGGATTCAATGTTTGTTACTAAAAGCATCTGGTTTCCATTTATGATCCCAGGTTCCACTGACCAGTCTCTTTCTGATATTTTTCAACAATGTGGCTTTCCTGATCTCTTTGTGTCGTAAACCTCTCAGATTCCTCGGCTTTCACAGAAGAGAATATTAGGGAGCGGATCATTAGATGCCCATGAGGTGTGTGCATGTTTGTCTGTGTGTGCTTGAACCAGAGTCCTGTGGTCAAAATGTGGATGTTAAGGCCGCATGCTCACGTGTGAACAGGACAGGAGCTCCTTCATGATGTACACATCGTAAATCTGCCGGCTGCGGCTCAACCGCTCCTCCTCAGAGTCCAGCTTCTCATAGTCCTTAATCTGAAACAGAAAACACACACACAGCTTAGCGACACCACAGAATGCGGAAGGCTCAATCTGAATTAGCAGGATTACAGGCCCCAAGCTGGGGCCAGCCCTTTGTGCACTCTAATTCGCAGGGCATTGGACACTTACTTCTTCGTAGAACTTGAGCTGAGGCACAGCCTCATCTATTTCATTCATACAGAAGTCCTTGAAGAGCAGGAAGCCTGTGAGACACAAAGCAAAAATACAGTGAGTATACATCTCAGTGCAACAGCAATATTTATCAGTCTGCTGGTCAACAATGATTTTAGCCTCTCCAGTGGAGTCCAAACATTAAACATAAGACAGAACATAAACTTAGGACGAGCAGATCTCCTTCGACTTCTCCTAAAGTCAAAGTTATGACAGGCCTCGGCTAACTTTCTTCTTTTGATGTATGTGGATGTAACAGTTTTAACAGTCTATGAAACATCACCCTCTTATAGCTCATTAACATAGTAATGGTATTACCAAAAGTCCCGACCAGTGTTAGCTTTAGGATTACAGCTGATCCACATGTGACACTGTGTCATTGGGCATTTGGTTAGGTAGGTAATGCACTGATGTAGTTACTGACTTACCATAAAGCGCTATACAAATACAGGCCATTTGCCATTTTACCATGTGTCTATCAACAATCTGTACGATATGCTCATCAGCGTACCTCACATGCCTCTAATCATAATGACTTTAATTCCTCCAAGTTGTTAAGCATATCAAAGAAATGTGAAATAAGCAGAATATATGACAGTGGAATGTACAAGCACAGAGGCAATAAGGAAATTATTTGGTATAAAACTAGACAATAAAACATACAAAAGCAAACTTGAGGCACAAATGTGACTGTTCTGTAAATACATGATAGTATTATAGCCAACATGAGGTGACACACACACACACACACACACACACACACACACACACACCGTAAACACTTGGCAGAACACAGAGCTGAAACCCAAGCAGCTGTATTTACTGTATGAGCCTTAAGACTGAAGCTGTCTTATTCTTAAGAAAGGCCACGAAAGCAACTAATTCCACTCACCACTTTACAACTGTACCAACACACATACACACACAGTTCATAATTACAGAAAATGGCCCTGGAGATTAGCTGGCTAAAAGTACAGCGCCGCTCTCAAACACACCAACAATGGACAGACATCTCACACTGTTATCGAATAAAGACTCGAAACATCATCAGAGAGAAGGTGGGTGGGGGGATTTAAAAAAACAAAAAAAACAACACACTTCCATGTGGCTTGCAGGGTTGAGAGGCACTGTTGCCATGGTAATAGCCTCTGTGGCCATCAGCAATGTGTGAAGAATGGTGTAGAGCGACAGAGACGAGACTGTCAGTGGACTGTGGCACTTCCAGGAGGCCTGGTGAGGCAGTTACGGCCCTCCTCTGCCGTCCTTAGAATGTCAGCGACATTTTCCCATCAAACACACATTGAAGCAGTACATTAGGGATGGAGACAAATGAAGGCACGAGACTGGCAGGTATAACAAGCTACTGTCCACAGAAACCGGTACACATGAAATGCTGACACTCAAGACTTTGCATCTTGGCTTTACCGATTAGTATCACGTATGAGCAAAAATAGATGGCTAAACAAGTATAAGCCGTTCATTCTCACCCTCCCACATGTCCTGTAAGACACAGATGTGTCTTAAATTCACTTATTTCCCTGCTATATTTTCATAACAATGTGCCATAAATCCAGCCCAGACTCACTCACTGTCAGCTCCACTCAGGCCAAATGATGGAAAAGTTGCTTCTGATCAACAACATCTATCAACAGGAGTCTGAAATTCTAATGGACCATTGCCCATCTTCAAAATGATCAACCACCATCTCAAAATGAGCTGTGTGTCTGAAGAAATGCTGGTTTATACTGGATTTGTACTTCTACCACAAGTCTCACCCAGCCAACCACATACACACATTCATACATTATTTTATCATACAATCTTGCGCACACACGCACACTCTGAAAGATACATCAGGGGCAACTCAGCATTCAGGATCTCTCTCAAGGACAGTTCAACATATGGACATATGGCAACCTTCTGATTGGTAGACAAGCCGCGGTACCACCTCAGGCCTTGTGTGAGGAGCATGTGTCGCGTATAAAACAGAATCAACCAGTGAGCACAGTTCTAAAGATTAGGGTTTGATATCGATCCACCTCTGGTCACTACTCATTCATCCCTGTGTGTGTGATCAAGACACCACATATTTTCAAAAGCGCTCTAACGTTTTCGGAGACGCCTGTTACCCACCAGCTTGATAGCTAACCGGGGTTCAAGGCTCACTAGAGCCGTGAGAACACCGGACTCCCGGCAAATCGTATTCAAACCCACCACCGTCTTTCGCTACTCAGGTTAAACATGATATATGAGTGACTTAGATAACTTAAAATTATACTGTTTGGCTTTTTTTTTGTATTTTATTTGTTCCTGAGTAAATCGGTTTGGCTGAGATTAAAGTTATAGTTTTTACACAGCTGAATAAACGTCAAGCAGGCAACTGATTATCAGAAGTGTGAGATGCTCGAGAATATACTCCGATGTGCTGTTATATTTTAGATAGCAAGGAGTTTATTAAACTCCACCGAAACAATCTGCAAATTTCATTAAAATTTAATAAACTATCATCTCGTCTTAATTTTTAGTTAGCACAGACCTTAAACACTTAAAGCTGTAAGCTAATGATAGTTATATAAGAGCAGATGCTGCTGGTGCAATAAGGTGTACGTTTTACGTCCAATGGATGCATGATCTGATTAGTCGACTAATCGCAAAAATAATCGGTGACAAGTCGACTATCAAAATAATCATTTGTGGCAGCCCTAAATCAGAGTACGATATATCGTACAACATGCCTTTGAATCAGGCTTGTAGTAACAGGCCTGCTTCTTCTTTGGTTCAGACAAAAGAAAGAAAAAAAAAAAGCACTCTACACTTTACTTACACAAATCAGAAACTGGACATCACAAAATTCCCTTTAAAGCTTTTAAAAAGCAGCTATTGTTTCAGTTCACTGTCCTCACTGATTCAGTTTAGGGCACTTGTTTTTGGCCTCACGTCTACTATCATATATTGTCACTTCTTCCCTTCCGTTTTATCTTCCCCTACAGACATGATGCATCATTTCCGGTCTGACGAATAAACGTCCTCATATGCATCCACACATGCTGTATATTTACACAGCCTAATGGACAGGGCATTCCCTCCTACCCTCACAATCAACCTCCTCCCAAACACAAAAACAGGTTTTCGAAAGCAAGGACCAAACATGCAGGAGAGGTATTAGGAGAGGGGGGGGGTGTCAGGCCTTACATCACCAAGACTCAAGGATTAAACTTAATCGCCGAACACTTCAACACTGCCCAGCTAATTCAACAAATGGCCTCTCCCACCCTCTCTCTCTCTCACTCACACACGCACACACACACTTACTTCAGGCGCCAGCTCCTTTGAGCTTTGTCTCATTAGCGAGATCACCTGAACTGTCTAAAAATATCAAGCTGGCATGTTCTGACTGCCTCAGTCTTCCATCATCACACACACACACTGACCACGCTCTGTATAGCTGCAGTGTTCCAACTCTGTACACGTACAGCTGTAGGTAACACAGGGATCCTGCCCCACCTTGCAGTTTAGATTTACGATACATGCAGACTTTTTAAAAAATTGTACTCAGAAACAAATGTGGCACCAAACATCCATTAGTTAGGAGTTATGGATGCCAGCTGTCTGCCTGTTGTATTTGCTTGTTAGCATCCACAACAAGCTAATCTGACATGACGGGACCAGTCCCACTCGCTAAAATGAGCTGTGGCATTGTGGGTAATTTGTGAATCTGTTGACATTTAGTTCACAAATGCTTCACTTTGCCTGCCTGCCCAACTGGCGAGGTGACAAAAACAGCCCATCCTCCCTTTATGGCTGAGGGGTAAGAATAATAAAATTATTGAAGGGTCATTTGAGTGAGAGGTGACTTGCATGTGCTCCATTATACATACGCTGACCTTTACTGGTGGGAGTGAGCGGCACCAGTCGGCGGTGCATTTGAGTGTGCATATACTGCATGATGTGACAGACATTCATTGGAGTACAGCTTCAGGATTAGCAAACAATGTTAAGTATTCTGCTAACCCTGCCCACACAGACTGAACACCCTCACCATAACCTGCTAAAATGCTAATCCCACAGTGCTGGCAATTTGTTTTGATTGGTGATGTCACACAGCAGATTTCAGAGACGGCACAGCCACAGCATGAGGAATGAATCCAGCAGAAAATGGCTACAGCAGTACATTGGAGGGGCTCGTTTTCCAATGCACTATTGATCATTTGAACCCCAGGCTGCTGTTCTCAGTGTTATTTACAGCACAGTCACTGTGTATGCTGAGGATCCTGAGGGTAACCTGGGCTTCTACATATGCATAGGCAGTTATGTGCAAACAGTTTAGCTGTCACGGATGTTACTACTGCTTTCCTTTAAAGAAATTAAGCATACATGAAGTTCACTTCGCCTGTTTGACATGAAAGTAACCTGTGTATAATATATCACTGCATCCACTCAGGATAGTATCACAGACAATTTTGTTAGGGGTCATGTACAGTGGGGCGAAAGAAGTCTTTGCCGCCTTCCTGATTTCCTGGTTTTTGTATGTTTGTCACTAATAATAAAGTGTACACCCCCTAAACCTAATAAATGGTTGGGCCACTCTTAGCAGCAACAACTGCAATAAAGAGTTTGTGATACCTGGCAATGAGTTTCCATAGCGCTGTGGAGCAATTCTGACCCACTCATCATCCATGCAGAATTCTTGTAATTCACACTCACACTGGGGGGGTTTTCGAGCATGAACCACCTTTTTAAGGTCATGCACCTCAATTGGATTCAGGTCAGTACTCTGGCAAGACTACTTCAAAGTCCTCATTTTGTTTTTCTTGCTGGTGTGTTTTGGATTATTGTCCTGCCGCAGAATCCAAGTGTGCTTCAACTTGAGGTCACTAACAGATGGCTGGACATTCTCCTTCATGATGTTTTGGTAGACAGCAGAATTCATAGCTCCATGTACCACAGCAAATCTTCCAGGTCCTGCCCAACTTTTGCACAAGTGAGTCATATGCAAGCTTTTTTCAAATGCCATGTCCAAATTATGCAGAAC